GCTTGATACAGAGGAACAATCTTCCAGAACCTCTGTGAGACACGACAGAGGTTCTGTCACCTTTGACTTGTATGATGGGATACTTTGTTGAATGTCCTCTRCGGTCTTYTGTGACAGATCATCTTCTGTCAAAACTTGCTGTGTTACTTTTTCGATACTTTTACATTCAAAGATGATGAGAGCTAACAATAATAATCTTGTAAGATAAACGATTAAACTTGACCCCATCAACTCCATATTCCCCAAGTTGGATCAAAGGAAAATGAATCATAATGAATAAGAACGTCCAGTGATCAACTACGAAATTGTTTAACTAGATAACTGATGCATAGATTACAAGCATACCCGGTAAGAATTTTTGCGCTGTCAGCTTTGCGCTGCTGTAGCTTTTTGCGCACAACTTTCACCTCAAAGCTCTAAAATTCATGATTCCAGTTGATATGCACTAATTATTTAGTTCTTAAACACTTTTTTTCTTCTCCTTTAGATATGATATTTTCCATTTATATCCTAACATTGAGTCATTTTATTTTCTTATTTTTCACTTTTTTGTTTGTGGAGCTATAGTAAATGATTTACTTGTTTTTACACTATAATAGGCTAATATGGACTTATTTTGAATAAATTTGAAGTTTGTAGATGCTGCTGAATAGTTACAACATGACCTATGGATGGAGCCATGAAGGAAAAAGAGCTAGGAGCTATATGGCAAGACAAGAGTTGACTTTGTGAAAAACGTTTTTGTATTTTCAGTTGTATTTATTTTAAACGACTGAAAATTAGTTGTCTAAATTTATTACAATTAAACCATTAACTTTTGCTTTAGTTGTACTTTTGGTAATTTTAGCTCTAATTTTGTGATAAAAGACTATTTTGCCCTCACCTCTAATTTAGTATAGATAGATGGGTTAGGTTAGTATTTTAGTTATCATTCTTATCATATCATCTCATCATCAAGTAGTTTCTCTCTGTAGAAATAGAAGTAATCTTTTGGTGAAAGTCTCCTCCAAATAATTTTTTATTACTTGCAACTACTTTCCTTTATTTATATGTTACGTTTTCCGCTAATTACTTTCCCTCATTTATTATTATGCTTTCCTCTCTTTACATTCGCTATTTAGGGGTTGTTTGGGATTGCTTATAAAAACAACTTATTGACTTATTCCGGTACCGGTAATAAGAACATTTGAGTGTTTGGATAAAGAGAAAATTGCACCAAAATGGAACCAACTTTCACCTAATTCCTATTTTGTGGAATCAACTTTCAAAATTGCCATTTTGGGGAACCAACTTGCAAAATAATTATAGAAAAATAACTAAAATTCGTTTTTTTTTTTCCAAAAATTAATGCAATAAAATCTATTTTTCATTTCAAATCTTTTTTTTAATTCAGATATCAAATTGAACATTTTAAAAATAATTCAAACTACCACAATAAAAATTGTTTTTTTACCAATGCAAAAAAAAATCAATTTAATAGAAAAAAATTAATTGATACTATAAAAAATAAATATTAAATATCACATTCAAGATTTTTATATCTAACCAATCCGTATCAATATTAAAGTTTAAATCAAATTTGGCAAATCAAACCAAAAGTTTGATAGAGACCCTTAAGTTATCTGTTACCTGTTCAACAGATCAACTAGACCCTTAAATAAACAAAAAGTTTGATAGAGACCCCTAAATGACGATTTTGAAAGTTGGTTCCCCAAAATAGGCATCAGGTGAAAGTTGGTTCCATTTTGTTGCAATTTTCCCTAATATTTATTTTTTATTGCATCAATTAATTTTTTTTTCTATTAAATTGATTTTTTTTGCATTAGTAAAAAAGACAATTTATTGTGGTAATTTGAATTTTTTTTAAAACTGTTCAATTTGATATCTAAATTTAAAAAAAAACGAGATTTGAAATGAAAAATAGATTTTATTGCATTAATTTTTGTAAAAAAAACGAATTTTAGTTATTTTTCTATAATTATTTTGCAAGTTGGTTCCCCAAAATAGGAATCAGGTGAAAGTTGGTTCCCCAAAATGACGATTTTGAAAGTTGGTTCCCCAAAATAGGAATCAGGTGCAAGTTGGTTTCCTCAAAATGACGATTTTGAAAGTTGGTTCCCCAAAATAGGAATCAGGTGCAAGTTGGTTCACAAAAATGACAATTTTAAAAATTGGTTCCCCAAAATAAGAATTAGGTGAAAGTTGGTTCCATTTTGATGCAATTTTCCCTTGGATAAACAACTTATACCGGTCACAAACTGATAATAAGAAGTTTTTGAAGAAGTTAAACCTTTCTGACTTATAATAAGTCGATTAGTGCTTTTGTAGAAAAAACATAAGTTGTTTCAAATAAGCAATCCCAAACACCCCCTTATATTCCGTCATTTACTTTCCATTATTTAATTTTATGTCTTTTTACTGCAATTTGTCATTTACTTATTCCAAAGAGATTTGTTTATCCGTATATTTTAAGAACAAAATTTGTCATTTTAACTGGTCCAAATACTACATAGAGATATGCGTTGAAAGCTATAATATCAGTGCAATGGTGAAGTCCGAGAGAAATACCTTCAAAATAAATAGTGAAAATAGTTGTTACTAATGGCATGCCATAGCATTTTGCCAACATTATTTTATCCTATGACATTTTGACAACATTGGTCTACTGGAAGCTATATTTACATCTCACCCGAAGTCTTACACCCTAGCTTTCTGTTAATCTTAGTAGTGTTAACTCAGATCTAATCAAAGTCTTCAAATCCGCTTTCTAAAATCATTTCCTTCGTAAAACTTTTACTGAAATTTTACTACAATCCATGTGGACTATACTCGGTATTTGTACCACTTTATTAATTGAAAGATGATATTGGAACTAATTGTATACTTGCTATTAGACCAGATTACTAATGTGGGTATGTAGAAGATCCTGTCAAGTTTTTGGCGCTGCTGCCGGAGATTGGCAAGCTAAAAGTTGTTTTTAACAACAACATTAAAGATTTGATTTTTCAAACACCATTTGATTCACTTTAAAGTGGTGTATGCCATGGATACACCATGGGGAGTTTCTCAAATTCGATCTAGATATTGAGAGAACATTCCGTAAAGAAGCGCACAAAGAGCATTTTTTGCTCTACTCCCTCCTAATATGGCGTTACCCCCACTTGTCGAAGATGTACCCCTCCAACAACCGAGATTGAAAAATCCACCCCCAGGATTTGATCAAATAGCACGGTTTCAACCTTTTCTACAAAATCCACCACCACTTTTTGAAATCCACCAGAACATCCTTTTCAGCAAGGGTCACCAAATCAAGATGATGCACATAATAACACAGAATCTGAAAATAATGATCAACCAAGGGTCAAGCTCCAAATATAATTAATCTTGCGAGATCTAAAATTGGAAGAATCATGGACTATGTTATTCCTGATTTTGAGCAATTGGACTCAGTGATAGTCAGGCCTCAGATGATAGCCCTCCATTTCGAGCTTAAACCGATCATGTTCCGTATTTTGTAAAAAATGGACAATTTGTTGGATTACCATATGAAAATCCTCACTCACATTTAAAATCTTTCATGAAAATTACTGATGCTTTCTTGATCTCGAGAGTGTCTAACGATGCTCTAAGACTTACTTTGTTTCCATTTTCTATACGGGACCAAGCAAAGTCATGGTTTAATTCATTATCACCAGATTCTGTACCATCATGGAGTAATATGGTAGAAAAGTTTTTGTGAAAATATATTCCACCCACCAAGAACGCAAAGTCCAAATTTGAAATTTGTCTTTTTAAACAAATGGACGATGAAGTTGTTCCTGATGCATGGGTTGTTTAAAGAGTTGTTAAGAAAATGCCCTCACCATGGCATTCCTTACTGTATTTAACTCGAGATGTTTTACAATGAGTTAATTCCTACGGCTAAACAGATGCTCGATGCGACTGCAGGCGGGGTCTTTACAACTAGTACCTATAATGAAGGGTATGAGATTGTTAGGTTCAATATTTTGTACTTAAATGTTGTATCTAAACTTTATGTTTATTGTGTATTCCTTTTGTATAAATATGGTGCTTTGTTGTAGTTTGTGAGTAGAGTAAGAGTGTAAAAGGGTTGTAAAAAGTAAGTTATGTGTAAACCTTTGAAGATCAATCTAAGCCTTTGAAGATAATTTCTCTCTCTACATTTCTACATTTTTACCATTAATGATCTTGTGATTGTTCTTGTTAATTTAAGATTTTATTGATTAAAACCTGGGAACATCAATTGGTATCAGAGCAGGAAAACAGCAACCAGAGAATCATATTGAGTCGAAGAATTTCTGTGATTGATTAAAACTTTCCATTTTTAGTCAAACCTTCATATCTACTGTTTGATTCTTGAATTCGGTATTTTGTATATTTTTGTGATTGAATTTGATTGAATTCTGTGTGAAAATCATTTCTGAATTGATTGGTATGATTCAACTGCATAATTGAATTGATTTTTTTTTTGTAAGGGTGTCCGGGCCAAAGCCCGACTAATCCCCGGAAAATTTGGAGGCTAAACATGGCCTCACATAAATGTCGCCAACACTCCCCTCCCAGGGCTTGAACTCGGGTTCATGACTATGTCATGCCCAAGCATTTACCACTAGGCTGGAAGGTCTTTGACTTGATTTGGTGTTTCAATTTTGGATTTTTTGAATTTCTTGAATTTGAAACAATTCTTAGTATTCATCAATTTAATCTGTTTTTGGATGAAATTTGTGTTCAAAACTTTTTTTGGAAAGTTTTTGAAATAATCTGTGCAAGTTTTATTAAATTTTGATTGATTTTGAGTGTATTTGGATCGTTTTTTGCATATTCTGTTAACAAGTTTCTTTATCGGTCGTTGAATATAAGAGATAAAGACTCTTCATCAGTCATTGAAGTTTCATTGAATTTCTTTAAATTTCTTATTGTTCGATATCCCGCATTCCTCGCTTAGTGTGTTAAGCGATATCTTGTCTTCATCGCTGGTTGAATTGCGCGATAACTTGTGTTGTTCGATAAGCATTTGATGTCCGATTAGTAAGAGTTGGAAGATAAGGAGTTAGGCGATAAATAGTTGGGCGATAAGAGACTTGAAGGATAAGCAAGAGTTGTCCGGTAAGCAAGGTTGAGTAATAAGCAAGTGTTGTCCGATAAAGTGTTAAGCAATAAGCAAGTTGAGTAATTTTCAGGTTGAGTGATAAGTAGTCTGGTGTGTGATAACCGGGTCCTGATTATTACCCAAGGTATTTATTATGTGAATTAATTGTTTATGTAGATACATGCTTACATGGATTAAAATACGTAAGTACATGTATTTCATGCATAGATTATATGCAAGATATGTGTTATATACATATGTATGCATGCTTTTATATATATGTTGTATGTAAGTGTGTGTGTGTATGGGTTTAAAATACATGAATGGATAGCTATTATGTACATGCATGCACATGGTCTGAGGTTGGATTGACTGACTTTCCATATTTGGAAGTATAAGTAGAAGTTTTGTGGAGAGAAGCAAGTTTTCTGTTTTCTTTTAGAAATCCTGTGAGATTTGGTATAAAGCCTGTCCGGATTTCTTGCATATTTGGAATCAAAGTGGGTTTGCATTTGCTAAATTTCAAAGGTGAGTGATTTCTAAACCCTTTTTGCATAAAATTTGTTACTGATTTTATTTGAATGTTGCTTATTATTAGAAAGAAATCAGTTATTCAATTAAGGTTTTTATTCAGACAAAGGGTGACCGGATTAAGTCTAAACCGGACAAAGCTTGTCCGGATTACTCTTAAACTGGATAAGAGGTGTCCGATTTATTTATAAATCGCTTAAGTGTTGTGCGATTTAGGGTGTTAGTGAGAATTTTGAACTATGTAAACCAGACAAAAGTTTTGAACGGAGAAGTATGAATACGACCAAGCATTGTGCGGTTTAGCCTTAAATCGCCTAAGGGTCGTGCGGATTAGTTATAAACCGATCACGTATTGAGCGGTTTAGTCTTAAATCGATCATGTGTTGTCCGGATTGTCTTAAACCGAACATGAGTCATGCGATTTAGTCTTAAATCGACCAAATGTTGTCCGAATTAGTATATCAGGCAAGAAGATATAGTGTTGTCCGGATTATATATTCGGATAACTTATTCGGGTGACCTATATTTGATAATTTTCAATATTGAATATTTTATACATTTATATAATTTGAAAATGTTTATTATTGGGTTTAATTATGGATTTATAAAAGGGGTATTTGTGATAACCGGGTCCTGATTATTACCCAATGTATTTGTTATATGAATTAATTGTTTATGTGGATACATGCTTACATAAAAATTAACGTGAGTATGTGTATTTTATGCATAGGGATACATGCATAATATGTGGATATATATATATATATATATGAGTATGTGTGTGTTGTATATATGAGTATATATATATATATATATATATATATATGCATGTGCATGTATGTGGGAAATTTGGCTGGTTTAGCTGACTTTCCTATTTTTGGAAAGTATACATATATATATATATATATATATATATATAGGGTTTGAAAATTTGGTGAGGTTTCTGGTCTCATTTGAGTTTTGGGAGGAAATAGAGAGAAAGGTTGTCCGGAGAATCAAATTTGGGTTCATTTTGCTATTTCATCTTCAAGCTTTCATAAAGGTGAGTGATTTCTAAAAATACTCTTTTAAAAGCTTTGATTATTACAGTAGAAAGAACTACATATTATTCTTAAAACTGGTTTTGTGTGATTTGGGTTTAATCGGATAAGGGTTGATCGGACTAGGTATAAACCAGACAAGGTTTGTCCGGATTACTCTTAAACCGGGTAGGAGTTGTCCGATTTATCTATAAATCGCTTAAGTGTTGTGAGATTTAGGGTGTTAGTGAGAATTTGATTTATGTAAACCGGATAAATGTTTTGAACAGAGAAGTATGAATACGATCACGTATTGTGCGGTTTAGTCTTAAATCGCCTAAGGGTCGTACGGATTAGTTATAAACCGATCACGTATTGAGTGGTTTAGTCTTAAACCGATCATGTGCTGTCCGGATTGCTTTAAACAGGACATGAATCATGCGATTTAGTCTTAAATCGACCAAGGGTTGTCCGGATTAGTAAATCGGACAAAAGGGACAAGTGTTGTCCGGATTGTATATCCGGATAACTTGTCCGGATAACTTATATTTGACAATTTTAAGTGTTTAATATTCTAGACATTTATATAGTTTAAAATGTTTATTATTGGGTTCGAGTATGGATTTATAAAAGGGGTATTTTATATCTTTTTAAATAAAAAGATGTGTTCCTACCAAGCGTGGTGACGTAAGTCTGTTTTGGTTTGGAACGGGATTTTTGAGAAATGTTTCTACCAAGTGTGGTGACGTAAGTCTGTTTTGGTATAAAACTATATTTTGGGAAACCTTCCTACCAAGCGTGGTGATGTAAGTCTGTTTTGGTATGGAAGTGGATTTTATAAAACTGTTTCTACCAAGCGTGGTGACATAAGTCTGTTTTGGTATGAAACTTGTTTTAAGTAGTAGTTCCCCCAGATGTGGTGACTTTTGTCTGTTCTGGCTTGGAGCTGGGAATGGGTACTTTCAGACGTGGTGACTTTTGTCTGTTCTGATAAGTAGCCCTGTTTTGGTGGAGGAATAAGGGTGGCATATCAAGGAAAGGTGTACTTGGAATAAGGGAGACATTGTCATATGTGGATATTATTATAATTCTTATTATTATTACTAATTGGATTTAATCACTTTGGGTCATCATTTCTTTGTGACCTGATGAATTAGAGATATTATTCCTATTAGAAATAATAATTTAGGCGTTATTAAGAAGGGGAAAATGGTTTGTCATAAAAGGCAAGTATTGCCTTAAATCTTTTCAGAGAAATTCAAGTCTTTGTAGTCTGTTGACTCAAAGAAATTTTGGTCACAATATTTGTTTTATATTGGGAACATTGTATCTTTAAGCAAATATATTTTTATAAATAGAACTGAGGTTCTTGAGTTTATTCTGATATACATGTCATTGAGGACTGCTTTATTTGATTGTACTGATTTCTGAGCAAAGTTATTTTATTATATGTTGGTGTTCATTACCCTGCATTCGCAAAGAAAGGAATCACTCACTAGACCCTTCTCGTCTAACCCTCATTTTCTGTTATAAAAATATGCAATGCAGGAACGGCGGGGTCCAGGGATAATAAGAGGAAAGGGAAAGGGAAAATGTGATTATTTTCTTAACCTATTATCTGCTTTTGAAGATCTGCTTTTGATGGCTTATTTTGAAGATACATGTTGTATTACATGTGTTAGTACATGATTTATTTTGGAATTTTTCATATGTAGATTTTGTTTATATAAGAATCCTTGTACTAGTGGGACCTTGTAATGTAAACTATATTTCCATGTAATGAAATATGTGTTATATGCAAATGTGGTGTATGGGGGTGTTACAGTATTTTATATCTCTTTAAATAAAAAGATATGTTCCTACCAAGCGTGGTGACGTAAGTCTGTTTTGGTATGAAACTATATTTTGGGAAACCTTCCTACCAAGCGTGRTGATGTAAGTCTGTTTTGGTATGGAATTGGATTTTTGTAAATTGTTTCTACCAAGCGTAGTGACGTAAGTCTGTTTTGGTACGAAACTTGTTTTAAGTGGTAGTTCCTCCAGACGTGGTGACTTTTGTCAGTTCTGGCTTGTAACTGGGAATGGTGCTTTCAGACGTGGTGACTTTTGTCTGTTATGATAAGTAGCCCTGTTTTGATGAATGAATAAGGGTGACATATCAAGGAGAGGTGTACTTGGAATAAGGGAGGCATTGTCATATGTGGATAATAT